ACAATTAATATATTTTCCCATTTAATTAGTCCCACCTATCATAAGTAACTCTTAATTTATAAAGAAATAAATTAACTCTCATTTAATTTTATTAAATCAAATCTCACCTACTATAATTATTTCCTAAATCATAGAAAAATCAATTAAATTTTATTTAATTTTATTAAATGGAATTTAATCATAATAAACTAAATTTAAACAAAATTAAAATAATTTTTTGATTTTTCTTCCTCGACCTTCTTTTTGTTTAAATTATTAAAATAAACTATAATTATTTCCTAATTGATTTTATTATGATTTTTGTAATGACTTTCCCCGTAAGTAAGTTATGTGGCACATTAATTTAATATAATTAGTTAAAATTTAAAATATTAATGTCAATATATTAAATATTAATCACTAATTAAAACTCATATATTAATCTATACAATAAAATTAAATTGTTTCTCAATAATTAGTGATTAATATTTAATATATTAACATTAATATTTTAAATTTTAACTAATTATATTAAATTAATGTGCCACACAACTTACTTACGGGGAAAGCCATTACAAAAATCATAATAAAATCAATTAGGAAATAATTATAGTTTATTTTAATAATTTAAACAAGAAGAAGGTCAAGGAAGAAGAATAAGAAAATTATTTTAATTTTGTTTAAATTTGCTTAAATTTAGTTTATTATGATTAAATTCCGTTTACTAAAATTAAATAAAAATTAATTGATTCTTCTATGAATTGGAAAATAATTATTGTAGGTGAGATTTGATTTAATAAAATTAAAAGAAAGTTAATTTATTTCCTTATGAATTAAGAGTTACTTATAGTAGGTGGGACTAATTAAATGGAAAAATATATTAATTATTTTAATTTTTAAATATAAATAAAGTAAAATTCAGAATTAAAGTAATTTTTAAATTATTTAAAATTAAAAAAATCCACATAATCATCTTTTATATGATGGATTTTTCACCTAATATTGAAAATGTAAAATAGTCAATCACTTAACGGAAAAATTAGCTGCATAAATACCTAATTGATGGAAGGACGAAATTGGTGCTAAAAGTTGAAGTTGAAGGATGTTTTCGATACTTTCTAAAGTTTAAGGATGAATTTGGCTCAAAAATAAAAGTTGAGAGACCAATTTAGTTATTTAACCTAAAAAAATATGTTAGCCACGGTCATCATCACACCAAATTAATTCTTAAATAGAAAAAGTTGAAAGTTGATATCTTTAAATAGAAAAAATTGAAAATTGACATCTTTATTTTAAAAAAATTAAAAGTTAATATCTTTATTTAGAAATTAATAAAATTAATATCTTTAAATAAAAAAAATATATAAAGTTGACATATTTATTTGCACTTTTTCTCACAAGAGCTGCTTTAAATTGCAGCCATTTTGGCTATAAGATGGTAGAAAATTTTCACATGGATTGGAATAGGAAGCTTCTGCCAACAACATGCGTCTTCTGTATCTGGGCCAAACAAAGAAAAAAAAAAAAGATTGGAAAGTTCATAAACCAAGGTCCCAATGCCTGCCCATAACAGAGTTAGATAAAATGACTAGTAGTAGGTTTTTTTTTTTTATTATTATTGATACATCAGAGAAAATGAAATTAAATTAAAACAATAAACACTAGAAACAGAGGAAAGAAGTCCGCGGCTGATCCCCTATAAGGATTGATGGCGAGCCACTTGGTGGAGAATCCAACAAACTCATACCTAGTTGTGAAGAATGCCCAAGGGAAGCTAGGAAGTCAGCAGCAGCATTCCCTTCTCGAAGAATATGTTGCAGTATGCATTCCTTAAATTCTGACATCAGGCTCCTAATATCCATCAAGAGGGCTGCAGACAAATTATCTAGCTCTCTGTTCTCATTAATAAACCAAACTCCCACAAGTGAATCCATCTCAGCCACCACACGGGATTATTCCAAGTGATTTACATAACTTGAGGCCCTCTCTAAGATCCCATAAATCTGCTATGAAAATGGATGCACAGCCAACATTAACTACAAAACCAGAGATTTAATTCCCTAAGAAATCTCTAATTAAGCCCCCTGCACTTGCAGAATTACAGACTAGTAGTAGGTGAATTATTTTAATTAATGCTTTTTTTAAAAGCAAAATGAATTAATGGGAGTACAAAACTTTAATTAATGTTTGTAGGATTGAATATGAATTATCAGAAAAAATTCAAAGATGTTGAATCATTCTGTTGTTATTCTAATTTTGGTTAATTTGATCAATAATGTTGTCAATCACGCATTAGCGTTGTTATCACCAAAATGCAACAATTAGAAAAAGAAAAAATTCCTTATCATAAATTTACTAGAATTTTCTTCCTTATTAACTAAGGACTCAATTTAAAATCTTATATAAATAAAAATATTTTATCGAAATTCGTTATAAGTATATCAAAAATTTTAATAATGTTTATAATACCAATTCTTTACTACTATTAAAAAAAAAATACTGTAGTATGAGCTATGAAAAGGCAAAAATATTGATAATAAGTTAATGAGACATGAGAATTCATTAATAGTAGTTT